AAACAGCGTCCTCCGGTCACTGGGAGTCCGTTATACGGACTGCGGACTGGACTTTAGCAAAAAGATTTACCAATAAGCGTAGATGGCTGTCAGATACAGAAAAACTAAATAAAAAAAGAGTTTAATTTGGTCGTTCAATGAATTTCGTTTAAATTTTAATTCAAACCTTGGGTCCCTTAAAACCAAAGAAATTTGACTTGTTAATATAAAATTTATTAATACAAACCGAATTTTATTTATGTTTGCATTTTACTTTTTAGAGATTTACATGCCTTTTAAAAAGCCAATATTTCGATAAATTCAATTATTTCTTTTTAAAAATTAAAACTAAAAATGTACCTATACATATATAAATATATGTATTAGTGGTTTTTCGGGATTTGCTCCGTGTTGTCGGTTTTTGGTTCTTAAAGAACCGTATGTCGGTACAATCTCATTTAACAGGGTTGCCACAGATTTTTCTAAACCAAATTCCCTGACTTTTCCAGGAATTCCCTGACTTTCCGTGATTTTTTTCCAGACAAAATGTGTTTTCTTTTTGGTTTCCTACTAAACTAAACTTTTATTGAAGTTTATAAAATTCAAAAACATTGACAAAAAATCAATACTTCTTATTAAAAAAAAAATTTCTGTAGCTAATTTTTGATTTAGGTTTTTGTTTCTTGGGTTTTTATTACATTAATTTTCTGTTCAATCTGAAAATAACAGAAATAATGAAATTTTATAAATGCCTCTGAAATTTTGTCTGCAGCAGGTCTTGTTTATCAAGTTGATGAGTTCTTATCAGTAAATATTTGATAGTACAAAAAAAAGATTTTATTTCTTCCATCATTTTTTGCAGGAGTTTTTATTGAAGAAATTGATTTATTCTGGTTATTTTCTAAAGCAATATTATTATTAATATTATTATCCTGTAAAACTGTAACTTTTTCAAGCATACTCTCTAAAAAAGAATTAGTCAAAAATGACATATTTCAAAGTGAAAAAGCATGCTTTTTCACTTGGAAATATGTAATTTTTGACTAATTCACTGCAGTCACTAATAACTGTAGTCCACAGCAATTTGTATGCAGGACATTTAACAGCCAATTCTCATGTAAAATTTTCCCCTGAATCCGAAAAGGCCGTCATAGCAGTTTTCGAGATATAGTCAATTCCATATTATATGGAAAATTGAATAAATCTTAAAAACTGTCCTACTTTTATAACTTTTGACGACATATTCGGATTCAGCAGACAATTTTACATAGGAATTGACTGCTAAATATCCGGGATACTGTTAACTAGAATTATTAGTGGCTGCTTTTTCGCTATGACAATTAGTAATTTTTTTAACTAATTCATTTTTAGAGAGTAGTATTTTTCATCTGGTTCTTTTTTTTTAAAGAAAATTTGACAAATTTGTGTTCTTCGTTGCCGAAATTCTTTTTAAATGGCCCGCACTTTTTATGTGGTCTATGACTGCTTGCAAATCAAACATTTGGCTTGAAACGTTTTTTTATCAACAGGAACTATGATTTTTCAAAGTCTTGTACTGATTACTTAATTAGTTATGCTTTTACTGATTAATTAATTAGTTTATTAATTATGCTTACCATTTACAAAATAAACAAATATTAATCACCCTAAACATAAAAATAGTTGGTTATAGTCTTAGAAGGTTATAGTTATATAGACTCCTAAGGTTATAGTGATAAGTTTGACATATAGCGCTGCCATATTTTGAATAAATTAAATTTAAATTAGACTCGTTAACATATTTTTTTTTTAATGAAAATTTTGGTGACCAGTTTTATTTATAAATAACCAATTCCCTGACCGACCTAGGAACTCCCTGACTTTGTAGATTTTTTTTGCCAATTCCTTGACTTTTTCTAAAAAATTTAAATTCCCTGACATTTCCAGGTTTTTCAGATGAGTGGCAACCCTGTTTAACATCTTCAGGTCTTATCTGCTGGACTGCTGTTGCTGCTCTGCTGCGAGTTAGACGTGGAGTAAGCTCCGTTGCCGCTGATCGTTGTTTATATACCCTCTTAGCTTTCCGCGTCATTAAGCGTGACTGCGGGATAGGGTATATAAACAACAATCAGCGGCAACAGAGCTCACTCCACGTCTAACTCGCAGCAGAGCAGCAACAGCAGCCCAGCAGATGGTACATGAGAGTACCGAAACGTCGGCAGACATACGGTTCTTTTAAGAACCAAAAACCGACAACACCGAGCAGATCCTGAAAAACCACTAATACATATAACGACCGTGGAAACCTAAAGCAGTGTCTCATTATAAAAATAATGGTCAGCTTTGGATTTATTTTATATTTAATTTATATATTCCAGTGCCGCACCAGGGGCATCTCGGCTGTTATTTTTGAGAAGAAATATAATATGAAATATGACCACTGCTTTTTGTTAAGATATTTGTTTCAAATAAAACATTGTTATCATGAAATTGGTTGTATGTATTGATATTGTATTTGTTAGGGTTTTTCAAATGTTATTAAAATCTGATATTTTAAAATATTTTATTTAAAAATAATTTCAACACTGTGTATCTCCGAAACAAGGAGTTTTCGGCGACTAGTCAATAGAAAGTTTTTTCTTATTTTCAAGTAATCTCATCCTAATTTTTTTGCATTACATCACCCTGTATATATCAGTAAATATCATATTATTATTATAAAAGAGTAAATACCTAAACAAATTTAAACTATTATTAAAATCTAGTAGAATATAATGTTGTTTTATAAAATAAAATTGAACTTAAAGCAATAGCTGGATGCATTTAAACAAATAAATATTTTTAAAAATGAAAATAAAAATTACTATTGCTCAGGAGAAAAATACTAAACGTGAACCATTAAAGAACATTAACGAATTGTAGAATAAAATATTAATTTATCAAGGTTTTTTACAGCCTAGAGAGTAGGAAACAAAACTAAGCGTTTCCGATAATAAGTTAATAGGAAGTTTTTTTATGTATATGCAAGGAATCTCATCCTGATAATAATAAAACAACCTGTATACCTACTAAATTTAAAACTGTCTTTAAAATGCACTGTTAATTTTAAGTTTTTGACATTAAAAATCTACTTAATACTATATAGGTTCATTTATTCTTTTAATATTATGTTACCAAATATTGAATACATGCAATTACATTTATACAAATATTTACTGATCAATAAATGCAGATTTATTTTATATTAATTATACAATAATACATGTACCAAATTTCTATTATTATTATTTGATTTATTTTTTGAGCATATACCTAATATACCTATTGTATGATTAAAAAAAATAAATAATCGTTATTTAAGTCATAAGGCTGAGAAGTAAGTCTTTTTGTGCCGAGCTCAAAATTTAAATGCCGACGCGTAGCGGAGCCCTACAATTAGCGAAGCACTAGAAGACACTTTTCAGCCGCATGGCATACCACATGTTATCTGTAAGGCATAATTTTATTTCTTAGAGAATACATAAAACAGTTATACAGTGAGGTTTTTTACAGACTAGGAGGTAGAAAAATAGCGCTTCTATTGAAAATCCGATTTTCAGTACCTGTTAAAACTAAGAGTTTTTAACCCTAGGGTTGAAATTTGCACTAAACCTTACATTATTATACAACAAATGTTAAATCTGACAAGACGTTCACAAAATTTTATTAATTTCTATATATATTCATATAATAAGACATTGTTCACAAAATTTTATTTAATTCCATCCAATAGATTTTGAATAGTACACAAAAATTGTTTATGGCAATAACTAGAAGAAAAAAATTAAATGCATAAAAATGTATAAACACATTAGTGCAATATTGCATGTTTGGATATGGTGTGGAAAACTAAATAAAAATTATAAAACACACTTTTGTAGAAATACTAAAGATATGATTGTATCTCAGTGTGACTTAAACCTTAATTGTTGATGGATCAGTGTTTTGGTTTTTAGGTTTTATAAAGAAAAGTTACATTTGCTATATTTTTTAAGAATAAAATACAGTGATGCACATAGTAATTTCAGAGCCAAGGGAAAAAACTTTTTGGTCCTCTTTTCCGAAACTTCTTTAATAATAAAAATTATATTGAATTACTTAATATAATATAATATAATTATTAATGATAACACTGTGTAATACGTATTATATATATTTTATTATTTTTTTAGTTCATTACCGAGTATTTGGTCACATCATTTTATTTTGCATTAACTTTATGAAGGTTGGTCATCAACTAGTGCCCCACTGTGAAAGGGCTAATAGTGATGACAATAGAGATGCCAATTGCAGTAAAAGAAGTAAAAAACCTCTTTGTTTAGTAAATAAAGATGTTTAAAATTGACCAATCACACAAATATACAACAATGATGAACAAGCCTTAACATTTTAACGTTACCATTAGCCTTTTCCTGGTAGGGCACTAGTTGAGGAGAATATAGAGGAAAATTTTTATTTTAGCTGGACCAAGGTCTATTATTTTAATAGGGTTTTTTCACCACGAACAACCGTATTTGAATAGGCCCCAAACTTGAGCCCCAGGCAAGTAGCCCCTCTTGCACTGTTTATGTGTCACTGATGTTTTACACTTTGGTTCTTTTTCTAATTATTAAATTTTTGCAAATCCTCGGATTTTTCTTGAAGTCCCGAAAAAAAAAATCATCAGAACATAATTCCTGGTCAATCCTGGTCAAACTGGGATGGGTGAGAACCATTGGTATAGCTGAACACCGGATCCTTTAAAAGTTATCAAGAACTGGTATTGGTAATATTTTCAAGAGAAATTAAATGGCTTTCTCATTTGCAATTGTATCTTCCATAATATGGTATACTATTAACTTGTCATTTATAAAAAAGTAGTTAAATAGTCAATATTTTTGTTTATACACTGTATACAAAAAGTGGGTAGATAATAAATATAACAATATTATTATAATAGGTATATAATAGGTATTATCACAGATTATTATACATAACCTTATCCTAAAGTAAATATTACTTACATTTTACGCAATAATAATTTTTGACTGCAATTGTATAACCTAATTTAATTATACAACTTGTAGTTCATAGATAAATCCAGATGGTCATATATTCCTCTTTTATCTATGTTGTAGTTTGCACAAGATTTTTGAATATGCACTAAACAAACACTGTTATTTCTATACTAAACAATTACAATGTATATAAGCAGAAAACATTTCGAGGTTAAATGACAGATATACAGGGTGGGACCCAAAGATGCTCTGTATCACGTCGTTGCCAACTTTAAATAAACAAAAACGTTTCTAACTTCACATTTATTATTATGTTTTTAAATCTATATGGAACGGGTTTTTTGAATGAAATTAGCGAAATTTTTTTCTGTTATTCGCAGAAATATGCTCCGGTGTTTTAATTAACCCATTGCCAATTTCTAAAAGCATACGCGTAATTAGGTAAATTGCGGGGTGGGGGAAGCCAGTTTTTCAACGGACATAGGGAGCAGTGTTGCCAGAAATGCAGATTTTTCTGCAAAGTGCAGAATTTTAGGAGTAATTTTGACTCATTGCAGACTTGCAGATTTCTTTTGTTTAAACCCCTCGGATTGCAGAATTCTTATCCTGTAGCTTAAAAAAAACCCTTTTCCTAATTTAATTAAATAAAATCAATTTTAGTGACATGCAGTGCTGTCGCGAGCTTTTAATATTAAAATATTAATAATATTAGAATATTAAAAATCAATTAATGGTAATAGCACAGCATTTTAGGATAAATTTGGTTATAGTACATTACAGTACATTCGATATCGAATGTACTGTAATGTACTATAACCAAATTTATCCTAAAATGCTGTGCTATTACCATTAATTGATTTTTAATATTTTTTTGTATATCATTTTTTTATATATTAAATTAATAATTAAGGTGCTTTGACTGCTGAGGTCATTGGCACCAAACATATTATTATTATTGTAATTAATATGGGGGGGGGGTTGATAAAAACAATTATTTTACTTAACTCTTTATAAATTAATAAATAATAAAATATAAATTAAAAAAATCAACAAAGTAGGTATGTATTAAACTATATGGGTTTGGTTTGGTTTTTTAATTTTAAACCATATTATAAATATAAAACATAAAATAAATAACTTTAAACATAAAAGGAATAACTTAATATTAAATACATAATTTTTTTAAAAATAAAACACATTTTAACGATCCCTCATTTTGAGAGTTCTGTAATGTATACCTACCATTTTAGTAAAATTTTATAAAATGTACTGTAAATCATGTAATTTTTAGATAAATGTACTTTCGTACTTTTCATGAAAATTCCAGCAAAAATGTACTGTAAATAGTACAAATATACTAGAATGGCAGCACTGGTGACATGCTTGTGCAAAGTACGGTAACCCAGATGACATCGAAGTGAAGTAGTCAGAGACCTCTAGTTATTTGTATTTAAAATTGTATTTAATTAATAAAGAGCTCTACGAAGTAACTGTTACTTGTTAGCATGTATTTCCCCTAAATAGTTACTTAACCTTTAGAAAATATAGAAAAAGTATTTTTATTTTACAATATTTTGTATACTATTTACAGTACCTACTTTTAAACAAAAGACATGAGTGATATAAGGTATACCGTATACATATATGTACACAAGTTTTATTGTGGTGAAATATTAAAGAAAACAATGCAAAATGATAAATCTGCTTGCGAAAACTGTCGTTTTAAATTATTTTACATTGGATTTTTGGATTGGTTTATGTTATTTGTTATTATAATTGGTTTTAATTAAGAATGTTACCAACGTGCAGAAAAATCAGTCGATTTGCAGAATTTTCAGTCATTTTACGCAGAGTATGAGTATTAACTATCTGGCAACACTGATAGGGAGAGATGCTGTCTGTTGTATATGCATAGGCATAACAATGATCAAGAACCTTGGTTGTAGAAGCAACTGTCAGTATTGAAGTTTCCCGCTGTATTCGTGATGTTCAATTACAAGTTATTATAAATATAAATGTTACAAGTGTACCTGAAGTTTTAATAACATACGAATATACGACATGGCGCAGTCGAAAGTTTAAATACAAGAAGATATACTTGGTTGAAAGTTTTTAACCAACGTAAAAGAAAGTTTTTGAACATTAAGTCCACTAATTGACGCTTAGTTTAAAAACATTTTTAAATATGGATGAAGCTAGAAAACCAAGTCAGTTGAGTCTTGACGGCAATATTAGTGCGAACTGGAAAAAATTCAAACAAAGCTACCAAATTTACCGAAAAAAATCTGAAGTCTGAAGAAATTAAAACAAATATATTTCTTAGCATAGCTGGAGAAGAAGCTATTGAATTATTTAATACTCTAGATATTAAAGAAGAAGATAGAGTAAAAGAAACAAATATTTTCATATGTTATGGAAGCCTTTGAAGCCTATTGTAATCCAAAGAAAAATATTGTCTATGAAAGGTTTAAATTTTATAAAAGACAACAATTAGATGGTGAGTCATTTGAAAATTTTTTGACTGATATTAGAAAGTTATCTCAAACTTGTGAATTTGAAACACTTATTGATGGAATGCTGAGAGACAGAGTCGTTTTAGGCATTGCAGACCCAAGTTTGCAAGAAAGACAGGTGTACAAATATATTTTGACGATCTATTAATAGCGGCAAAAAACGAAAACGAACATGATGAAATTTTGAATTGCCGGCTGTAATACGGCTTTAAAGTAATTAATAGAGCAATAAATTTGGGAGTTAAATTTAATAAATCCAAGATTCAATATAAAGCTTTGTCTGTAAGGTATTTAGGGCACATATTTTCCTCTGAGGGTATAAAAATTGATTCAAATAGAGTAAAAGCAATAAATGCCATTGGCATTCCCAAAAACAAAAAGGAATTACAGGGTATTTTAGGCATGGTAAATTTCATGCGACAATTCATTCCAAATTTATCCGAAATATCAGCCCCAGTTGTTAAAAAATAATGTGTTTTGATTGGTTACCGAATCACACTTTAGTTTTAGACAACTTAAAGAGAATTATATCAGAAGCACCAGTTTTAGCAAATTTTAACACTAAAAAAGAAATAACCATACAGGCTGATGCGTCACAATATGGTTTAGGTTGCTGTCTTATGCAAGAAACCAAACCAGTGTTTTATGCATCCAGGTCTTTGAGTAAAAGTGAAATTGGTTTTGCTCAAATTGAGAAGGAAATGTTGGCAATTGTCTTTGCTACAAAGAAATTTCATAACTTTATCTATGGTCGGTTAGTAAATGTGATTACAGACCATAAACCACTGGTTGGCCTTCTTGATAAAAAAGTATGTGACATAGCCTCATCCAGGTTACAGCGCATGCGTACTAAATTATTTAAGTATAATCTAAGTTTAAAGTATTTGCCTGGCAAATTTATGTACGTTGCAGATCTTTTGTCGAGATCTTTTATTAAAGATGACAATGAAAATGTAGATAACTGGATTACTGAGACAATTCACTCAATTAGTACAGGTTTACCTAAATATAACTGACAGTAAGTGCTACAGAAAATGACATAATTTTAAATAAATTAAAGAATTAATACTTTAGTGGTTGGCCAAAAAGTATCGAAAATGTAGATGATGATGTTAAATTTTATTTCAAGTTTCAAAATAATGTTTTTGTTGAAGACAATCTTGTATTCTTCAACAACCGAGTAATAGTACCACAAGCTTTAAGGAAATACATATTAAATTTATTACATGAATCACACTTTGGCATTACCAAAACAAAAGACAGAGCTAGACAAATTGTATACTGGCCTGGTCTTATGACAGACATTGAAAATTTAATAACAAAATGTTGTATTTGCGAAAGGTTTGCAAACTCAAATATTAGAGAACCTCTTATTCCCCATGAAATTCCAAATATTCCTTTTAACAAAATTGCTTGTGATTTTATGGATTTTCAAGGTAAAAGTTATCTTGTTATGCAAGATTATTATTCAAAATGGTTAGAAATACTTCCGGTAAAAAACAAAACTGCTAGTGAAGTTATAAGTAAATTTAAAAGTATATTTGCTACGCATGGAATTCCAAAAACAGTTATTTGTGACAACATGCCATTTAGTTCATTTCAATGTAAACAATTTTCAAACTCCTGGAGTTTTCAAATTATAACGAGTTCACCACATTATCCTCGAAGTAATGGTCAAGCTGAAAGAGCAGTTCAGACCGCTAAATCCATTTTAAAGAAATGTATGTCTACAGGTAATGATTTAGAAGCAGCACTTCTAGAATATAGAAACATGCCTGTTTCAGGTCTTAATATTACTCCTGCCCAAATATTGTTTAGTCGCAGAACACGCACCAAATTACCCATTCATACTAAATTACTAAGACCTAATACTGAAAATGACGTTTTAACTAAAATCAGGGATAATCAAGTGAAATTAAGGTGACCAACTGTGTAAAGGGGAAAACCAGAACAGCGGTGGCCTGTACGAAATTTTTTTTAGAAAAAAGGTGTTGCCCTATTTTTGCCTGTTTTTTGTGCAACTACCTGTGTTAAGGTATAATTATTTACTCTCAATTGAGTTAAAAAAACACAAATTTCATAATAGTTATTTTATATATGGGTCGTTACACGCCCTATCGGCCACTTTTGTACCCGACCCTTTCGATTTGGCTAAAATTATGTTATATTTTTTCAAAGAAATGTCTTTTTTCCCAAATTTTTTTGTATTTTTTTCTGAAAAGTTCATTCAAAACCAAAAAAAACGCCCCATTTAGTCAAATTTTGACAAAGTTATGTGTATTTTAAAGAAAATTGGCAATTTTTTTAAAAATTCGTAACTTTTTTTTGGTTGGGTATATTGGAAAAATTCTGAGAAACTTTTTTAGTGGGGTAGAAAAAAAATTAAGTTCAGTCAAATCGAAAGAAGTTGGGTCAAAAGTGGTCGATTTGGCGTGGAATTCCCCATATATATATTTATAAATTAACTATTATGAAATTTGTGTTTTTAGCCTAGTTATTTTTAGATACCTATTAGGTATACCTAATAAATTAATATGGATTTATAAAAATTGGAAGTTTATTTTATATGGTAAGCTAAATCAGAACAGACCAGAACCAAAATAGGAAAATCAGAACCTTTATTACCTTCGATTTCCAGTCAGAATGAAGACCTCAAAAACAGTATAGTTCTGATTAAATCAGAACAGTTGGTCACCTTAAGTGAAATACAAGAAATATCATGATTTGCACACTAAAGTTCGTTCACTGCCGAACATAGGAGATAACGCGTTGTTAAAAAATAATAATATATGGGAACCAGCTAAAATATTAGATAAGGGTGATACTCCTCGTTCTTTTATAATTAAAAATGAACGTGGTAATATAATTAGGCCGTCTAATTATATTACCACGTTCATTTTTAATTATAAAAGAACGAGGAGTATTACCCTTATCTAATATTTTAGCTGGTTCCCATATATTATTATTTTTTAACAACGCGTTATCTCCTAATTTAGACGTAATTCGTATCATTTAAGGCCATCCCAAAATGAGTTTAAGGTAAACACAGAAACACACCTAGATATATCTTCTATATATAGAAACCAAAAACGAACCTGCTATAATCCTAGATACTGAACCTGCCACGATCCCAAATATTGAACCTGCCACAATCCCAATTAAAAACGAACTTAATTTAGATAAGCCACTTAGAACTACTTGTGGTCGAATTGTAAGACCACCTAGGAAATTTAATGATTTTGTAACCTATTAGGAAAAGGGAGATGTTGTATATGCATAGGCATAACAATGATCAAGAACCTTGGTTGTAGAAGCAACTGTCAGTATTGAAGTTTCCCTCTGTATTCGTGATGTTCAATTACAAGTTATTATAAATATAAATGTTACAAGTGTACCTGAAGTTTTAATAACATACGAATATACGACAGTGTCAATTTGACAGTGTCAAATTTTGTTCGTATTGGAAAGTGGGGCAATTCCATGATAACTCACGGGACATTCAGATGACCAAAATAAAATTTAACTTGGTATATCAGAATACATATATTTATTAGGAATGTATAAAATGTTTAAACTTTAAAGGATAGGCCAATGTACATTTTTAACATTTTTGAATAAGTTCACCAATTGATCTCTAGACAAAATGCAGACAAAACGTGTGATAACTCATGGGACACGAAAAACTTTCTTTAAAAAATTGGTTAAATTAAGCAACCTTTTTCTCTGAATCCTAAACTGTAAACAGTTAAGACTTTTTAATTATTTAAAATTTTATGGAATATTGGGTTAAATAAATAAAGTAATAATTTTCTAGGCACAAGTAGACATGTATGCTCCTAGTTTAATAACATTTGGAACATTTCGATTGATAAAAATTTTAAGAAAATTACGCTATTACGCGTGGAATTGCCCAGTGCTGTAAAAAGTGAAAAAAAAACAAAGTTAGTTAAGCAAAAAGTGATTATTAATTCTCCGCATGTTTGTTCAGTTATTAAAAACAAGTTTTAAGAATCTAATTGGTTTTTACCTTGGTTTAGTAGAGTACTAAACCAAGGTTTTTACGGGCTTTATAAAATCAGCTGTTTTATAAAGCCAGTGGCTTTAAGCCACGCCCATCGTCTAAAAACAAGCAACAATTCTTAAAATTGCTAGGTACAATTAAATGATTTTTATATTATTATATCTAACTTTTAGGCAAACAAGCAACAGGAATCCAAAAAGGAGATCAAGAGCTTAAGGATTTCATCTTCAAAATAGGAGCCACAAGCAGTCCGAGGAACTTTAAGGACCTGGTGAGAAATTTTTTATTTTGACTTGTAATTCTTATTAGTTTGTCAAAATAATGTCAATCATAGGTAAATGTTTTATCTGGGGTCAATATACCTAATAAATAATTAGTATTTTTCTATAAAAAATGTTTTTCTCTAAACAATATAAATTAATATTAAATAAATTTAAAATTTTAGCTTATTTCATTTCATTTTATTAGTTATTTCAAAAATCATATAAGGCTTAATATTGTAAAATTTGTTTAATATTAGTTTTATATTGTTTAACATTGTAAAATCTGTTTTATATTGTTGTTATACTAGTTGAAAATTGTTTAATATTGTAAAATTTATCTTATACTGTTTAATATTAGTGGTTTGTTGTAAAATCTGTTTTATATTAATTTTATATTTTTTAAAATTTGTTATACGTTTGTATATCGTTTAATACTAGTTTTATATTTAATACTAATTTTATATTGTTTAATATTGTAAAATTTATCTTATACTGTTTAATATTAGTTTACTTATTAAATTTTATTTATAAAAACTTTCTAGTTTTATTTATTGTTATATTAAATGCATTATACCTGTATATTACATTTAAAATTCCCGCCTAAAGAAAGAAAGAAAAAATAATCAGCGCCATCTATGCTTTTTTATCTAAAACATAATAGACATGAAGCTCGTACGTAACATTATGTTGTGTAAGTTGGTAGCCTTGTGACCTGTTTCAAGAGGAGCGGCTAGAAGTTTGAAGAAATACAGCTGCGTTGCCAAATCGTACGCAATGTTCAAATTTCAACATAACCTAAAATAGCTAGTCTAACCTAATCTACTTTTTCTATGGTCTAGCGTTTTATATGGTTTAGAGCATTGAGTAATAAGTGGTTTAGAGTAACCTGTTGATTTCGGTGTGTTTGGTTAATTGTTATATTATGCTAATTAGCATTTTGCTTTGTTTTGTGTAACATTTTACTTTGTTTTTGTGTAGTTTTTTGATCTGTGTTGTGTAGTGGTTTTAACGACAGGACGTTACAATGCCGTTTGTCTGCAATTCGTGCTCTAAAGTGTTTGCAAGAAAGATACAGCTTAATAAACACATGGAAAACCTACATAAAGATAATGATTTCCATAAATATCTTAGCAAATGCCTGGAAGACAACTGCCAAACTTCTTTTAAATACACTGCACATCTGAGAGAACACCTTCAGAGTTGTCACAGCAAAATTATTGAAAATGAAACGCTGTATTTTTCAACAGAAGGGGGTTTGTATATTATTTGAGTCATAAATTTACAAAACTGACTGACCAAAATTATGAAATTTTCAATTTTTTTTAGTTAAAGAGTGAGATTTGGAAATATAAGCCTCATTTTATTACTAATAGTATATTTCTATACTTATTTATTTTTTAGAATTTTATGATTGGAAAAATACTATTTGCAAAAATAACAACGTGCAATATAACTGTATGAAGAAAAATGACCTGACATATTTTAACTGCAACCGATCAGGTATTTGATTCATATATTTTAATATTTTGTAGTTAATGTGGATTAAGTTTATAGTTTGCTTATCACTTTTCAGGACTCTTTAAAGACAATAATAAGAACACAGTCAAATGTTTAAAAAGTCAAGGGAGTTGTAAAATCAACAGCAATTGTACCAGTCAGATAATTTTAAAAAAGATGAATATGGACAAGTATAGAGTTGACTATTTTAAAACACACTATGGACATGACTTGGAAGTTCAGCATATTAGAATACCAAGAGAGGATAGAATTGATATTTCAGCCAGATTGTCAAGTGGGGTTCCAGTAGTCAGGTAATATATTACATTGGCAAAATTATTAATTACCTACAATATATTTTTTTTTCTTTTTAGAATTTTAGATTCCTATAGGAACTCTATTGAGGAGGAAAAGTTGTCTCGTTGTGATATAATCACAAGGAAAGACATCAATAACATAAAAACAGCATTTAACATAAATATCCAGGAGGGAGTAAGACATGAAAATGACAGTGTAAGTGTTGAACTTTTGGTTGACCAATCAAAAGATTTTGTTCTTTTGCACAAAAAGCAAGGAGAGCATTTTGAAAAACTTGCTCTTAATGACTTCTGCATAATTTTTATGAATGTTACACAAACAAATATGTTGCAACGGTTTGGTAGTGCTGTAGTTGCTATTGATAGCACTCATGGTTTGAATATGTACGACTTTGAACTAACCACTCTAATGGTCATTGATGAGTTTGGTGAAGGATTTCCTGTTGCATGCATGTTCACCAATCGTAAAGACACCCTTGTTTTTGAAATTTTCTTTCAAAAAATTAAAGAAAAAGCTGGTTTAATAACCCCAAATGTATTTATGAGTGACATCACAGAGGTGTATTACAATGCATGGAAGGCCACTATGGGGGGTGAAATTCCACACAGATTGTACTGTGCCTGGCACATTGATAGGGCATGGAGGACTAACCTATCCAAAATTCCAAAAATTGAGACCAGGAAACAGGTCTATCAAACCCTCAAAGTTTTGCAAAGTGCTCTAACACTACCAGTATTTGAGAGGAATTTTGACACTGTAAAAAAACTTTTTCACAATAACCCTGATACTAAAGAATTTGCTGAATATTTTTTAAAAAAATATTCAAATAACTGCCATATGTGGGCCTTCTGCTATCGAAAGAATTGTGGTATTAATACAAATATGGTGATTGGTTAATATAAATATTTACAATTGCTTAAAAACTTCTTAATGAAAACTGCTTTAGCAGGCATGTAATTAGTCTTCAATGCTTTTACTGTTTTGTAGTACTAATATTTGGTAGTCATACTTTTAAAAATAACAGATAATTCCACTTATCTTTTATACTTTTTGTAGATATATAGATAAACATGTTACATTAGATATTTGCATGTGTATTATTGTTATTAAATTCACTTTTTGGGAGGGAAACAGTATTTAATATTAATTACTGATGTGTTTCCCCTATATAATACATTTGTTAATAAATATTTTGATTTTAGGTACTTGAGAGCATGCATAAAACGATTAAGTACTTTTATTTGGATGGGAAAACTGTGAAACGACTGGATAAGGGCATAACAGCCGTTCTCAAATATACTCGAGACAAAATTGTGAACCGCTTGATAAAGATTACAAAAGGAGTGAATAATTGTCATATTCAAGACATTCACAAAAGGCACCGGGTTGCATTAACTAGTAAGATGGAAATTACTAATGAAAATAATCATACTTGGATTGTACAAACAGAAAATGGAAAATATCAGGTTTCAAGAAATGAAAAAACTTCAGATGAAAACTGCAAGTTAACTTGCTCATTTTGCAAAATATGCATTCACGATTTTGAATGCACATGTGCGGACTTTTACATAAGAGGAACCATATGTAAGCACATTCATTTCATTAAACTAAATGTACAGAATATTGAAGTTGATAATAAAGAGATGGAAGATGAATCAGAATTCAGAATAAACCCATGTGTGGAAGAAACTGTTTTAAATCTTAAAACATTGTCAAACTATGGGCTGACAGAAAACAAGAAAAATGTATCACATGAAATAAAAAAAGCATGCACACAACTGTTAGAAATTCCTGATTCAGTGTATGAAAATAACGAAACTGGCCCCCAAATTTTGAAATTTTTGCAAAATTGTATTGCTTTAACAAGCATACAAAAAGGTGATTCTAAAAAAAGAATTATAACAGACAATAAAAATTGCCAGGGTAAGTAAAACTATTTATCATATTATGTATAATGTGTTTTATTTATATATACATATATTTTTAGAACCCGCAAATAAAAAAATAAAAAAACAAAATACTTTTTTTTCAACTATGAACAAAGTAAAAGGAAGCAAAAACACCATTAAAAGACCCACACAATCGGAAATCTCTTTAATAACATCTCAATTAAATACCCAAAGTGATCATGATTATACATGCTAGCTATTTTTTTTACAATAAACAAAATTCAACCATAGCAGATTAAAAGAGAAACTTACCTAAACAGTACACCTTAGTTAATGGAAAGCATACAGCCATTCCAGGCGTAACGGATGGGAAAATTTTCAAGTTTTTATTTACAACATAATATTGTTCTATTATATTACCAATGTCAAATTTTTATAAATAGTTCTAAACAAAAGCTGTTTAACAAGGTTTTTATTTGGCAAAATTAGGTATCATGGTTGACGCTTTAAATTATTAATTATTAAGGAATTAAACAGTCAACCACAATACCTAATTTTGCCAAATAAAAACCTTGTTAAACAGCTTTTGTTTAGAACTATTTATAAAAATTTGACATTGGTAATATAATAGAACAATATTATGTTGTAAATAAAAACTTGAAAATTTTCCCATCCGTTACGCGTGGAATGGCCGCATAGTAAGGCACAAGTTGTTAAACACGTATCAGAACACATTCATTAACAACAACCTTTAACCATGGAAAATGCAGCACTATCAATACAAGCATACTATCTTACGTCTTTACTGGAAAATGTTAAAAATGCAAGTAACTTTGACAGCTTTAAAAGAAACTGAAGCACCACTACAATATGTATTATGTAATTTAACAAATGTGATAAAAAGTATTTAAATTAAGACTACAACCATGTACCTGCTAAATAATCTCATTATCAGCATTTGGCTGATTTGAGATTCTAAATGAGGAGCGATCAGACAAAACCAGACAAATCCATTGTAGTGATTTGCAGAAACAAATAAAAAAATAAAATAATTCGTTTGCTTTTGACTTATTTGTCTGGTTTTGTCTGATTTCTGCTTAAATGTACCTGAAACATTATGATGCTATATTATTGTTATATTATATTATACTTGTTATTATAGATGGTATATGCTTGAGCCCTTTGCAAAGTGCTCACAAATGCTCGAGCATTTAAAAGCATTTATGACCGCTTTTGAAAGTGCTCATCCTTCTATCTTGTTATTATATTGTTTTTTTGGAAATAAATATATAAATAGAATTATGTGGGTATTATTTGTCTTCCAAAGTTATTGCAAAAAAAAAGATTATATGGGTAGGTATCTACATATGAGTCGTCTAGATGCAAAACTCTCCATTTGCCTTTTTTAATAAGGACAAAACATGTTTCCATAGAAATATAACTAACAGGGCTAAAAAAAATGACGATTTTTGAAGATGTGTTTTTTCTATAATAATAATTTTATGATCTTCAGCAAGCAATAAAATTAATTAATAATTTGCACAAAGAAGTCTGGAAAAATCTATGTTAGTTTCAAAGAAAACGTAAAATAAAAAGTATTTTCTTTTTGCTTATGCCGTTACTAATAATGGAATCGCCATCATACATACTTGTCATTTTTTATTTTCCTTTGTATTATTCTATGACACAAAATACATTAATTCATGCCAATTTATAAAATCCAACACTGGTAAATATTTGAAATATGATTGCAATTTAAAACTACCGCGTTTTGTAATTGGTCTAATAGTGGGTGCACAACTTGGCAACGCAGCTGTATTTCTTCAAACTTCTAGCCGCTCCTTGTTTCAAGCGCATCTCAGACTTTCGGGCAGTGTTGCCAGAAATGCAGATTTTTCTGCAAAATGCAGAATTTTAGGAGTAATTTTGACTCATTGCAGACTTGCAGATTTCTTTTGTTTAAACCCCTCGGATTGCAGAATTCTTATCCTGTAGCTTAAAAAAAAACCCTTTTCCTAATTTAATTAAATAAAATCAATTTTAGTGACATGCAGTGCTGCCGCGAGCTTTTAATCGAATGTACTATTTTTGTCAGTGAAAATGTACTGTAATGTACTATAACCAAATTTATCCTAAAATGCTGTGCTATTACCATTAATTGATTTTTAATATTTTTTTTTTATATCATTTTTTTATATATTAAATTAATAATTAAGGTGCTTTGACTGCTGAGGTCATTGGCACCAAACATATTATTATTATTGTAATTAATATGGGGGGGGTTGATAAAAACAATTATTTTACTTAACTCTTTATAAATTAATAAATAATAAAATATAAATTAAAAAAATCAACAAAGTATGTATTAAACTATATGGGTTTGGTTTGGTTTTTTAATTTTAAACCATATTATAAATATAAAACATAAAATAAATAACTTTAAACATAAAAGGAATAACTTAATATTAAATACATAAATTTTTTAAAAATAAAACACATTTTAATGATCCCTCATTTTGAGAGTTCTGTAATGTATACCTACCATTTTAGTAAAATTTTATAAAATGTACTGTAAATCATGTTATTTTTAGATAAATGTACTTTCGTACTTTTCATGAAAATTCCAGCAAAAATGTACTGTAAATAGTACAAATATACTAGAATGGCAGCACTGGTGACATGCTTGTGCAAAGTACGGTAACCCAGATGACATCGAAGTGAAGTAGTCAGAGACCTCTAGTTATTTGTATTTAAAATTGTATTTAATTAATAAAGAGCTCTACGAAGTAACTGTTACTTGTTAGCATGTATTTCCCCTAAATAGTTACTTAACCTTTAGAAAATATAGAAAAAGTATTTTTATTTTACAATATTTTGTATACTATTTACAGTACCTACTTTTAAACAAAAGACATGAGTGATATATATATATAAGGTATGTACACAAGTTTTATTGTGGTGAAATATTAAAGAAAACAATGCAAAATGATAAATCTGCTTGCGAAAACTGTCGTTTTAAATTATTTTACATTGGATTTTTGGATTGGTTTATGTTATTTGTTATTATAATTGGTTTTAATTAAGAATGTTACCAACGTGCAGAAAAATCAGTCGATTTGCAGAATTTTCAGTCATTTTACGCAGAGTATGAGTATTAACTATCTGGCAACACTGCTTTCGGGCGATTATTGTGTTGCCAACTTTTAACCAGGAACTTTTGCTTCTTTGGTGTTCTTTGGTGGGACCAAGGCAAGGATACTTGAGACCAGTGTTGCCAGATCAGGGTTTTCCCCTAGATTGAGGTTTGTTTTAACAGTTAAGGGCCGGTCGACTTTAACTAACTCCGAATTTCCAATTTTTATTGACATTATTAAAAAAAAGGGTGTTTTAAAAAGTAAATATCATAAATAAAAAATGCGGGTTTTTAAGTAATTTTTAAGAAAATTAAGTTTGAAAATGTAATTTTTACCAAATTTTCAAAGAATGTTGCCAGATGTAATATCATATACTAATATATACAAAAAAAAATTCTAAAATATGGGTAATATGATTTTTAATTTATAAATATGATCTATACCACAATCCACACCACAATCCACACAACAAGGTCTGTTCTTTAGCAGTTCGAGCAGACTGAAAATCACAAAATACTTGCCGCCATATTGTTTGTTTACGTTTTAAGCGGGTAGATTTTGATTTGGTTTAATTTTGCGATGTGGCTCCCGTCCCGAGGCGGGACTTAAGTTCAGTCCCGATTGACGTCATAATTTTAAGATTTGTTATGTTATAATAAAATAATAATAATAATAATAAATTGTATCTGTATACATGTTAAGGGCACGTTAGTTACGTCATAAAACCAAACCAACCCAAACTCAACAACACAACCCAACCAATTTTGTGCTTTAGTGTGTTTGATTTTGTGCCTTATTTGCCTTTATAAAGGTTGTTAGGTGTTTGAACCAGTTGGTTAGTTGTTTATTTGTGTTTTGACTGTACTAGTGTAAACCTCAATTGTGCAAATCTTGTATTCAACTAGCAAGTAAATTCTAATTCTAAAATATTAGCACGTTTTTTATAACTCTTGGTATAAAAAGTAAAAACTAACTGGTAAAATACATAAATATATATTTTTAGTTTAAAGGTTATAATTTGTTTCACATATTTCTATAACAAACCATAGAACCTATGAACAAAAACTATAATATAATAATAATAATATAATATTAATTTAATAACTATAATTTCGGGGAATTTAAACTACGATAACGGCCGGTATCAAACTTCTACTTCGGGGATTTTAAATTACCCGCGACAAGATGGCGGCAAGTGTTTGATGAAATAGGTGCGCACACCTGCACCGATTTTGGTTTAAATTTTTAACCTAAAGAACAGACCTTGTTGTGTTGATTGTGATCTATACCATATATTTAAAAACTCTCTATACGTGTTGTGTTGAATAAAAATCTTCATAATATAAAATATTATAAAACAGATTTTTTAAAGGTATTTATTAAGATACCTAACAATATTAAATTAAAGTAGGTAGGTAGGTAGGTACATATTTACAACTTTAACAATACATATATTATTTTATCTTAAGAATTGTCTAATTTGATGGAAACTAGTTCCCAAGCTAATATTTTATATATATATATATATCTATCTATCCGGTCCACGTTTTCAGTCCCGGTACACTATACAGGCTACCTAAGACCCACTTGATCCAGGTAATTTAGGCGACTACACACAAAAAAATAATCATTTACATTAAATAACCAACATTTCCATTAAATGTATGGCATGGTTATATATACGCAAGAATATTATACTCTTAATACAAATAAAATATAAGTTTACTTGTGTTTATTTATATCAAATCTATTATGTTTTGTTTAAAGCTACCAAATATTTAAAATAAATGTATTCGTTTACTTAAAATAAACTTTAATAGTTCTAGATTTTAAATTACGTATATTCTTGGGATAACTCTAAACAATATTTATTTTATAGATATCATATTTTGTTTCCAATCTAATATTATTGAATATTAATTAACATATATGAATTTTGGACTTGCAGTGTCTTAATTTTATATTGGTTTGTTACAACCTTTCGATTAGCCAATATTTCTAATGGTCTTCTGGTACCTGACGATAATAAATAGTTTCTAATCAAAACGTTGCAACGCGTTTTAAGAAACCAATATTAAAATTAGACAATGCAATTCCAAAATTCACTTCTTAATCATTACCT